AAAATCTTGCGTCTGTGGATAATAAATTTCATAAATGGATGATCATTTTGCATTAAACTATTAAAACTATCAGCTTAAATTTCCATTAAATCTTCCCAGAGCAGACTATTGTATGCCAGTCCATTTCAATTAAATAAATTCTGGCACCCAGTATGGAGGGCCAATGTACACAGCCTAGTGAGTTTACACACAAGAAGGCTTTTAGAATATAAATAACTTATTGAACCAATTTTTATCAATCTAATCATTTGAGATAATTGGTAAACAATAAACTATCTGATGCAGGAAGTGTATCTAGTTAAACTAACTTGTCCTAAAGACAATTTGAAAATAGAAGAAATTCCAGTGAAAAATGGAAGCATAAAGATAGTAGTATAGAGGAAATTAGAGATCAAGGTAAAGCGCTTCCAAATGAATTCTTAATTTATCACCATCTCCTTTTCTTATTGATAGCTACTGACTTTTACATTTGGCATACCTACAAACGATCAAAGAAAATTATGAAAGAAAAATGTAAAAGACTTTAATTCTTATAATATTTAAAATCTACCTAAAAGGAAACTAAGATATTAAAATATCCAACTAATAAAGAGAATAATAAAAGAGGAAATCTAAAATATCATAATTCTTATATTATATAAAATTTACTGAAAAAGAAACTTGATGTAGGAACAAATAGGATTGAACTAAGAAAATATTAAAACTAATAAGAATTGGAGTACTACTCCTAATAAAAATAAGAAATAATATTAATATAAATAGCAAAACTAAATACTAATAAGAAAAAATCATAAAGCTACCAAAACTATAATAAAAAACTCGTAATAGTATAGTAGTTTTACATTTAATAGAATTAAAATTTCTACTTATTTAGGCAATGTAGAGCTAATTCATCCTGCATCAAACTAAAATATTTAACGCCTAAATAAACTTAAATGACTTTATAAAATAATAATAATTACAAACAAATTCTTTAATAGAGAATATATTCCTAATTAAAATCTTTTTGTTCTGCATCATTTTACCCCACTTGATTAAAACTCAACCTCAAACTTTGAAGTGGTGTAGCATCAAGATAGGAAAGGACCGAACATGCTTTTTAAAATCCTCAAAACTCGAGATTTCTGATAATCTTCAAAAAAAATTAAAATGTTCACTAAATGTTAGGTTCCTTAGGATCATGAAACCAACAAAACAAGATGAAATTATCCTAAGAAATCCCTTTAGTGCAGTAACTATGGACGGAAACCACTTCAATAGCAGGAGGTAAAACAAGATTGTTGAAAAGAGGAAGTTGCTCAACACCATCTGCATGAATAGAAACAACTTCAACATGAGCCAATATTATTGAGTTGCTACTGGCGGTTGGACTTCAAGTTTTCATCTTCTAACACAAAAGATGGTTTCATACTTTAGGGATACCATATAGTTTTGGGTTGAATCTAACTCTTAGCACATGCAAAAGCTAAAAGAGAAATTAATATAGGAACAAGTTGTCACAAGGTCAATCTTAACTTAGCGGAGAGAAATATGCAAATATCTTTTACAAAATAGAATACGCAGGTAACGGATGTACATTTAAGATGATATAAACATGTTTTGGAGGTTTTCAAACTTAATAATTCCTTCATAAATTTTCCACTCCCAAAGCCAGCAATATGTTAATGAAGGCCATAACTCCAAACATCAAGTCTGCATGGCATAAAGCCCTCAGCCCCCAAACCACAACTTCAAGCAAAATTAGTAAATTGTTCCAGAGAGCCAGAATCCCTAATAGGCAGAGCAAACTATCATTCCTGTAATCCAGAAAATAATTAATTTCTGCTAACTTGTAATTCAGACTTTTGGGTCCATCTTATTAAATCATGATGTGCATGATTGAGAAGACACTGGATTAGTTATGAACCACTTGATAGATATGTAACAATTTTGTATATGGGTGGTACCCCCTTGGTACTTTTGTGAATAATATTTCTCTCTTCTATTTCCAAAAAAAAACATAAAGAAGTGTTAGTTTTACTCTTAAGCTTAGCTTTTAATTCTTGGAGGACATGTTATGCTTTCATAACTTCTGAGTATAAGTCCATTTCATACTCAATATTAAACTGACAACAGTCATCATATATTCAATTACCATTGAGAGAGTTTTTCGTAGACAACATTTTGAATACATTCTATAGGATAAAAATTTGTAACACCCAAATTTTATCATTTTATTTTTTTAATTTATATTAGAATTTTAGTTTAATTTTTCAATATTTAATTTATAAAGTTTTAATTTAATTTAATTTAATTTAATTTAATAAAAATAAAAATAAAAATAATAATAATGATAAATATGGTAAAATTATTTTTGGGATTTAATTGAATTGATTTTGAAAAAAAGAGTGAAATTTGGACTCTGTGGTGTTTTAAAAGAAATCAAAA